CTCTTCAAACGTTTCTTACATACGAAATTATAAGTCTGTCTTGAATCCCGGCACAAACCATCTAAACGGGCTGAACACGAAACACGAGGTGAGAAACGAAGAGCAGAAAAAATTAGCACATCGCTATCTTCTCGCACTTTCGTCACAATGTAAGAACTGTTAATAACATTTTGTATGCTACTAACTGAGAAAATCCGACAGCAAATTAAGGTACAAAAGAACGAAAAACATTACAAGAAGTCTTACGTTCTGAATACGTTGTGTTCAACAGTCACGTAAAACCAGTTGGATTGATTATATCGGGTCTTCTGGCCCATTCATCGTATTCTCAGGCCAAAGAAGTGGGTCGGTTCGCGGTATCCAATCTGTAGGGGCAACATACATCTTGTTACAATAACGAGTCTGACTTTATTTATAACAGAATAACTGTGCCGGATCGAGCTTTATACCGCGTTTGATCCTCTTCTCGTTGAGCATCAAATTTAAGAACATTTTCCATTTTTGCTGTACCTTTCCAAGGGGAAAATATTCAGTTATAAACGAGCAGATAAATGTCTAACCCACAATTTCTAGTAGTTCATATAAACAGCAAAGCTGTTGATTTAGAAAATGGCATTAGGCCACTTAAATAATAGAAATTGTGGGATAGGCACCTTTGGCATTTAGGTTGCATCAACTGTAAGCAAATAAGTTGTTCTCAATTTATATTCTCCTTTTATGGATTATAATACTTATTCATCTAATCTGGAGAAAGGAAGAGAATTTATTTAATCGTATCTAGCGTTAAATTGCATCGACGTGACTGATCCCTAGCTAACTGAGGATGACATGCTAAAAGACATCTTTTATACCAGGTAGCATCAGCTACTGGGTTACGATATGCAATTTTGTATCGACGATGCGCTCCGATGACGACTTCTCCCCGGTACGGTGTTTGCACTGCTAATTCTGAATTGTTGATACATATATCCCATCCGCATATCGCATCGCTCCGCGCCGCGTCGTTTCGCTCTCGAGGCTCAATTAGAGACGTACGGATATATCATCGTGGCCAATTAAAATGTAGGAAACGAGAGAAGCTGCCGTTCTCCGTTCCGTTCTGTAAAGCCGCGGCATTGGGCCGTTCAGTAACTAATGTACGACATTCGGTTCTCCGCTCTTAATTCGCTCTCCGAGATCTGTCGATTTCTTTATTTTAAGAAAGCTATACATGTATAAGTTTTCTCTCTCTCTCTCTCTTTCTCTCCCTTTCTCTCTCTCTCTCTCTCTCTCTCTCTCTCTCTTTCCTCGTTGGCGAGCCGTTATTCCTCGGATTCCTTGATCCACCGTTAATGCACCGGAATTTCGGGACGAGCTAAAAGAGCATGAACATGACAAACTTTAAGGCAATTACCGGCCTCATGCTCATCCTGTCGAAAATAATTCATGTCCTTGATTATCTACATGTTTTAAAAAGGAAACGCGTTTCAAAAGATTATAATTTTCGTTACAGCTGACAAATACACTACAAGCGATTACAATGAGATTTTAAGGCTTAAAATTTAAACTTTTAAACCTTCCCGAGTCAAAATTTTAATCCTATTTTCAACCTCTTTTAACCTCAATTAAACCTTATAAACCTGTTTCGATACTTAAACAATCAAATAGGATTTCTTTTAATATTACTTAATCTACAGCTTCTATTTAGAAAATTTCTTTTGAATCAAAAAATAGGAAATTTTCCGATCATTTACAGGCCATTTACAGGCTTAACGTAGAAGCTCATTAAAGTCTAGAATCTATTATAAATCTCTAGAGTCTACAGTCTACGTCCTAAAACTAAGATTCAAAATAGGAGCAAAATTTCGACTCGGGATTATAAGTAAGAAATTGATTAGTCGATTGTTTCTTTAATATTCAATTGCAATCGATCAATTCCTTACAGCTTAAGATTTTACGATTTAAAATCTCATTACAGACATTGTTTTACGTATTTGCGGCAGTACAAATTTATAAAGCGTCAATTTAATTTATAAAATCGAAAAGCCTATAATGGAGAAAAATGGGACGCGAGTCGTTTCATCGAAATCAATTGGCTAGTATTAGCTAAGTGCATGGCTAACTTGCAATCTCTAAATATTTTATCTAAACAAGAAAAACATGGGTTTGGCAAGTATGATTCTGGGTCAGTTAAATATTGAATATAGACAGCAGCGCGAGCTGTTCAATCGTCAGCTGCAAGAAGATCCGAATTTCAGTCTTCAGAGATTCTGGTTAACGATGATCACGCACTTGACTTTAGTGGTCCTGTAATATCTCCTTGGAATATATGCGTTATGAGGACGCTCGCTAAAGTAAAGTAAGAAGCGAAAGTTACTCGTGCACGCGCGAACGCGAACGTATTACGCAAAATTCTCGACAATAAAATCGAGAGTCCACCGGATATGAATTTTCGTCGTTTTACGTAACGGCATTGAAAGTGTTATTAGACTTAGCGCCTTGTCGTCGAACAAAACGGAAGCTACCGGTTCTATTGTTTCGCCACGGTTCACGCGCGTAAACTTACGATCGTCATGGAACGTCGCGGACGTGCGTTTATCGTGTTCGCGAAAACAACCGAGTGATCATCTTGCGAAATAGAGGAAGGAAGAGCGATCCGGATGCTGGCCGGTCCATCCGGCGCTATCAGATTGTCCACCACCAGTCTCTCTCGCGTGCAGCGATGCAATTTCGGGGATTGTAGCGCTAAGTGCTGCTCGTTGTAAAAAATACCTGCCTCGAGGAGTGAGCGGTTAACGATACTCTCGCAAATCGTTCGCCGTTTACGCGTGAGAAACGAATGAGGACGAAAACGAGGCTTGGGGATGCCGCCAGGTAGACGCGATCGCGAGAATTGAGGCTCGACGTACGGCGACGTTAATTCTAATTTCGTTGAAATCTAGAACGTACCCCGCCAGCTCGTAATCTATTTATGTCTCGATGTGTAGGAATATTTTGCGAGCTTTGATTTAATTACGATTACTGCGACGTATGGTTTCCTTATCAATGCGTGGCCAATAATTGGAACACTAGACTTTAATGATAGTTACTTATCCTGATTAATATTACCCACTTTATACTAGCTCACCGCACTGCAGCATTCATTTCGAAAATCAGATATTTAGGTTAACTCAGTCATAATTTGATTTTCATGCGCTCGCACATGTTGAGAGAATTGTGCGACGTGGCTGATAGATGTGTTAAATTAATATTAATGATTGAAGAGAGATACGTCTACGTATCTCGTGTTTCTTCCCGAAAAGAAACGTACTAACGTTCGCCCGGATACTCGGCGGGATATATATTCCGCTGATAACAAATTAATCATACCATATTGCTCGCGAGTTTCAATGAGACGAACTGTCGCTGGCGAAACGAAAGCCATGTCTATGCCTACGTACGTACGCATGTGAGTTAGCATATAATGACAGCGACAATGGTTGGGTGGTGAAAGTTGCACGCACTCAAGACGGCGCGAGCGAGGCATTCGTTGCACGTCTCGTACTTGGTGAGTGCACTGTAAGAGAACGAGTATTATTTTTTTTTTCTACGTTTCAATATTGGCAAATCCCAGCTTCATTCTCTCGCACACGTGTCTACTTTTCATAGTATTGATGCGTGCGTCGAGAGCAACACACTCCTCTAGTTTTTTAATTTTACAATGTAAGATTAAAGTGTGGAAACACATTGCTGATAAATGTATCGTCAAGATTAATCTTGCTTGGGAATTGAAATTATCAATTAATCGATGACTAAATTTTCTCTCTCTCTCTCATATTTCTTTTTTATACAGCTCTTTATTGTCATCGTCATTATTATCTTGTCTCAAATATATGTATTGTGTATCGATTATGTGATCTGTTCTGCGCTTGAAGATATAAAGAATGTCCCAGAGCACTTAATAAGTTCTTTATATATCTGTCTCTATATATCCATTTATCTATTTATCCATCTACTTATCTTTCTCTGAAAATCATCTTCAGCAACGTAACTGCACGATGTGACAATTCTTCAATTATTGTGGCGGAGACCAAATGCCTTGTTTGGCTTTCTCAATTTAATAGAAACCGCACAATTTCACGCGGATAATAGAAATAAGCCGGCAAGATCTAAAAGCCTGACATAAATTGTTTGTGACACACGCCGATTCGTCCAACAGACCCCGAGTCAGTCGCAAAATGATCCCTATTTCGTGATACTCGAGAGAATTTACACTAACAATTAATATAGAAGCAATCAGACGATATCGTTTATTAGCTGAAAGTCGTAGTGAATACAGTAGCACTTAGAGATAGTGACTACAGCATTCATAGACGATATAAATAACGACGATTTTAGAGTATCCTTTACTTGATTGGTAATATATAATGCAATGTCTGAGTAGGTTAATACATCTTGTTACGTGGGTGTTTATATTGCATCGCTCTTGTCATGCTAAAGGAAATAGTACCGTATATGCGCACGTGCGGATCTATTACGTCTGCTAATAATAGATTGTATGCGTTGCATGCTATTGCATACATCGCATCTCTGAAGCTTCGCCAACTCTTCTTAGAGAGACTAAATACTACGAGAATCATATCGAGATATTGTACTACAAATGTGCTAAAAATGCATGCATATATGTCAGTGTATATGTATATAAGAAGTCTGCAAACTGCTGCTTCACGATTCTAACTCTATCCGCCTGATGTATTCTTCACTGTGATAAAGATCATTAAGTTCGCCCCGTCGCGTCGATCCTTTTTGTGCACCTTCCTCTGAGACGACTGTTGTCATTTTCACTCGAGGCCGCCGCGTGCAAGCAACTTCTTCATAATCATCATGAGTAGCAGAGGCGGAGATTATTAGCGGAAACAGGCTAACGAAATGGGACGATGACCATGCACATTTGAGAGATCCGTGGAAGTAGGACGGGCAAAGGGCACATTAGACGATTTTTCGAAGAAGATCGAAATGCGGCTGCTGCGAAGGACGGTAAGTAGGTAAGTAGGTGCAAGGAGATGCTACTGTTTCCTTTTTTTCGTTAACGTCACTGGAACAGCCGCCTCCGCGATTTTGATTGCGATTTCTTTGGCGAACAATGGTACATATATATTGCGATTCGCGAGCGTCGGTATAATAACGTGTTAATAACGCTTTCCACAATGAATATAAATGTTCGGTTAGCGTTTTATCGTGGTAACAGAGTGGACGTTGGGCGTTAGACCTTAATAGATACAGGTTTCACTCATTAAAGTGAGATTTTCTGTCGTATGTACAGAGTGTTGGGCGAAACTCGATTTACAGCATGCCGTTATGTACACTGTTTGTGCATCTACCAGTTGCGCGCACGCGGCGAAACGATGAAGCGTGGATACGATTTTAATTAAGAAAAAAAAAAGTAGGAGGGAACTAATTATGTGCATTAACTACGAAGATTGGAAATTATGATAACGTAAACGCGAGTGCACTCGGGATGTAATTATTTCGTAGAACGGTTGTTTAGAGTTTATTTACAGTCGATTAGCGCGTAGCAGCCGCACCCAAAAATTAGTAGAACGCTACTCCACCTGGCATTCTCTGGAAAAGTATTATGAAACAATGCGAGGCTAAAAGCGTAAAGTTCGTTCGCGATAAATTAATCGACGCTACTTAAAATCACCGTCGCGTTGCGCGTGTCGCGCGCTAACTTTCTCGTAGTACTCGCCGTGCATAAGTTGGCTGAGAAATTGTGACAGGAAAGAATAAACCACCGATTTGCTTATGAATGAATCCCGGTAATTAACAGAAATATAAAGTGGCACGGCTTTCCTCGTCACCCAGGAGGTACCGTGCCTGGACGCGTTCCCGTTTTTTTACATGGCGGGAATCCCCAGGAGGCCTACACCATGCCACACGTTCTGCGACGTGTGGAAAATAATATCAACGTGAAAACAAAAGAATTACTATGTTGTTCTATTCAATTTAAGTATTTTATTCTATTTGTCATATATGATTATTCGTGGATTATTCGTGGATGTGCAAAGCCTCGTAAGAATGTTCATATTCCTAACATTTTTTTAATGTCGCTTCCGTATTTAAGGAAGTTGTAAGATAAATGCAATATATGTTAAGTATTATTTAGAAAAATTATTCTACAGATTATTCTAAATTGCATTTAAAAGTAATACAAAAAAATTAGAGACAGTTGATTGAAAGTTATTTCAATAAAAAGTAATATTTTTTAAATTTGTTACTCTAATAGAAATGTATGAAAATGTAATTGTAAAATAATGATAAAAGTCTCAATATTTTTTTATATAAGTACTTAATGAATTCAAAAATATTTAATCCTTAAAATATTTATATAAAAAATTTAGATTTTTATTATTATTTTAAAAATTTTTGTGTATAACAATAAAACTAATATCAAATAAAATAAATAATTTATAAAAAAGTGTTGCTCAATAAAAACAGAAATGTTATGAACACTACTTTCACATATATGTTTAAAGCGTAAATATTAATATATGTGTTTTATGCCCTTACAATCTCCTTAAACATTCATGAACGATAACGGCAGACATATATTTCGTAAAAAATTTAACATTGTTCTCATTATGTAATAGACTGAATCTTATTAATTATTTCATTAAATCAAAAATCTTCTTCTTCTTACATTAGGCCTCTGGTCTGTGTTGACTCTCTTGTGCGTACGCTAATTATTTAATTGTCACAATTATATAAATGTGGCTCAAAAATATCTTCATTGTATAAAAATTGCCTAACACAAAATAAAAGTATTTTAAAATTTTACAAGATATTTTATGTACTTAGAAAAAAAAATCTCAAAATTACAAGACCTTAACCTTTTAATTATATGTGCACTTTGGAAATAAAGTTTATATTGCTTTGTATCGCGATATAGAAGAAGAGGATTAGTGATATTTACCGTACTTCTGACAAAAAACGTGATGCCATGTTAGCGGAAATCGTGCGTGCACATACCTTTCGACGTTAATGATCCGTCGAAATGTAATTTTGTCGGAAAGCTTACGTTTTGTTTTTTCCTACATACTGAAACACTGTTACCGAAAACGCTCACTCCGGTAGATACCGTCGTACATCACGCATCATGCACGCTCGATTTTTACGCTGCCGGGATCGTTCATATATAGCGGAACAAATGGAAAACCTTACATTACTACGACCGATAAACTCCATGTAATATCGATGTATCTTATATACGCTAAGCACTTATACTCAATAGATGTACCTCTGCGATGCTATCTGACGTATATACAGACCAATTTGAAACGCAGTCGCCGATAACGCGATCGAGACTAGGGGTCCGTAGTACGCGATAAACCGATCACGCGAACTCAAGAGGTGCACACGTTCTACCGGAACGGAGCCTTATATATCCTGGAAGTTATTGATCATCCCTTTGCTTCAGTCAGGTCAGGTCGGTCATGCTCGGTGCACGTGCGCAGATTCTTTCCACCCGTTGCCGAAGCGCGGAAATGCTACCCGCACGGTTGTGTCTTATTCAACGTTTTTGAGAAGGATTAATTCATCGCAGTATATAAACTTACAAATGAGTTATTCTTGAGTTCTTGAGTATTTTGTCTTTGGCCTAATTATTGACATTGTTGACATAACGATTTTTATTACTTCAGGAATATTTAATCAAAGATTATATTATACAATTGAAGATGATATTGTATATGAAAGATTAATTGAAAATATACTTATAAAAGTTTTAAAAATACACTTTATTAATTATAATTGTTTATTATTTTGAGTATTTGAAGAATTGTATATGATAAATTATCACAAACTGTTATGTTAAGTCTTTGAAGAGTTAATTATTTTAAATGTTGATGAGTTAGATTTTTAATGCTGTTTTGTCATTATGCTTTCATTACAAATAAAATCATCACAAATAAGAATAGAAATCATTCTTGTATGTTTTCAAATTTAAATTTACTTATTTATTAAAAATTATGATTTTATCTATATTTTTATATTTATTTTCTTCTTAACACCTTCTTTTTTTTCTTTTTATTAAATTAAAAATATTTAACAAAAAAATATTAGACAATAAAAAATAATGACTAAAGAAAATCTACAGAACATATGAGGAGTCTGTAAAAGATGATTTATAAGATTAGGACGTCTGTTAGACGTCTGTTAAACTTTCACGTTGTTGGGAAGCGAAACCAAGTAATTATTGCGGTCATCTAAAATGAATACCCAAGTCACATTGTAGTTGTAAAGTTTGTATCTCAGGTTCTACATAACTGAAACTGGTTTACAATTGTCGTTTCTTGCTTTCCTTTATTAATTAAATCAACCAATGTACCTACGAATCTAACTTTATTTGATTAATGATTTCTATGAAATCTTTCTTCTTTCTCTCTCTCTCTCTCTCTCTCTCTCTCTCTCTCTCTCTCTCTCTCTCTCTCTCTTTTCACGTGATGTTTGATATAATGATAGCATTTTATTTTTCTTATCTCTTGCAATTAATATCTTATATTTTGCTTTAAGAGACATATAACTACAATATTTCTCAATATTTCTTGTGGCTTTAAGAGATATAAAGAAAAGTGTATCTTTAACGTCGTATATATACAAAGTCATTCTTCATTCTTCCGCCAATCATTTTTTATTAATTATGAAAATTTTGAAAACTTTTTTATTTTAAAATAAGAGATAATATAACATATAACTATATATAACAACACAATATAAAATCCTAAAATAATATTATATATATATATA